GGGGGGATTGGTGGCGGCAGGTCTGTTGCAAATTACACTGAAGAGAAAGATTCTCCAATATCACAAATAATAGCTGTAGACTCAGGAGATATGTCTGCTGAGAATGTACTCTGAAGAGTTACATGTGCAGCGTTTTTACAGTTTAAGAGGGCGAGAAGCATGCTTATGCCCAGGGAATGTGAGAATGAAAGGTGTGGTTCCTTGTCTACTCTGATCATGTCTTTGAAATGGAACACCGATGGTGTATTGGAGAGCTGGGCATGAGAAAGTTGGCATTCAATGCCTCTACCACCTTACTCTATATAGCAAGAGAGATTGGTGAGGTTTGCTGCCATGGTTACGTTGCATTGTTGGCCCTCTGTTCTCCTTCATTGAGGAAGTGTTACAGATGGGATTCTAAGGAATTGTAGCACCTTCCTCCTGATCTATGTTCTGTCCCTTGTCCCTTGTTGATTGCCTCTGTCAGGTTCTCCTGCTTTACATATTCTTGTAAAGTCACCTGATATGTTAAATGGCACTGGACTCTAGTTAGCAAGCCTTTTCCAGTCATCCAAGTGAGCCAAGCATCACTGCAGCTGCAATCCTCAACCAGCATCATTCCTACAACCAGCAACCCTATTCTCCCCAGCAGGTTACTCCTAGTTTACACAGATGGAATGAGAATGACTGGATTGGTGTACAGAGAGAGGCAGGCACTCAGCGGGCTAAATGGACTCCTGTGCTGTAATGACTGTAAGGCTCCATCACTGCTTCAGTGGATATGCAAATAAGATGGGCCACAAAATTTAAGTGTAAATACTTCTACAAGCTACAGGATGCCCCAGTTCAGTTTCCATTGTTGTAAGATCAGTGCAGTTCAGCAGCAATGGGGCCACTGTGAAGCAAGTGGTCATGAAAAATCTCAAGAAACATTGAAACAAGCTCAGACATATCACTGGGACCGCTGGTTTCACTGAGAGATTGTGAATGGCCCGAGTGTGTGAAATGCAGGTACATTGCAAATCACAAGGTGCCAGAATGGCAATCTACATCACATGGCAAGAGCCCAAATGATCCCATTCAAAGAAAGCAAATCTCTACCCAGCACAACATTCCAACATTGACGACGACGAATTCTGGCTCACTTTGCACTCAAATGTCAGATACACATCACAGAAGGGGCTTCTGAGCACTAGGGGTGACAAAGGATGACAGTCTCTTCATAAGTAATGCTGCATTGAGTGATCCCTGACTCTGACCTGGATGAATATGTTATCATTACCTTAAGAGTGGTATATCAAAGTGCCTTTGTGATAATGATAGTTTTTTCACTCGTTCATGAGATGTGGCAATCCCTAATTGCCCCAGAGAAGGTGATGGTGAGTCGCCTTCTTGAACTGTTGCCAGCCATTTGTTATAGATTCACCTGCAGTGCTGCTAGGGAGGCAGTTCCGAGATTTTGACTTGTGAAGGAATGATGGTATATTTCCAAGTAAGAATGGTGCGTGGCTTGGAATTTGCAGGTGGTGGCATTCCTATGTATCTGCTGCCCTTGTCCTTCTAGAATGTAGAGGTCATGAGTTTGGAAGATTAGAGAGTTCAAAATTTGTAATATATCACTTTATACTGTAGGGAGTAGGTGAAAGGGGGGGGGGAAATGGACAGTAAAGCACAGGTGTCAAATGGTGACCATGCCGACTCTGTTATCTACATTAAAATACAGTAAAACACAGTCTCTTGAGATCAACAGGAATGAAAATCAGGCAGTTTCCACATTGGGAAGTCAAACTGCATACCAGTCTTACGCTGGGAACAAAGTAGAAAATCTATCCACTAGTTTCAATGCCCTGTGGTATTATTCGGAATCATATATTCTGTGATGGCTCAGGGACTGTCAGACATAAAATTCCAATGTAAATAAATTCTGAACATTCCCTTACATTGTCCTGTATGCATGGGCCAGGGGGCACAGGAACATACAGACCCTCATCCAGGCAAACAGTTTCCAACAGCCAGCGCACTGAATATAGTCAGTCACTCATCTCTGCAAGCTAATGAGAAGTGACAGAAAAAAAAAATACAGTAACGGAAAGCCTGGTTCTGGTCCCATTGTAAAAGTGTTGCTATACAGATGATTCAGCAGTGTGGTCAAACAGGCAACGACCATCAACGCTAGCACTTGAGACTACTTCCACTTTCCTCAAAAAGGAGATTTAATCAACGTTCTTACAATTATGAATGGTTTTGATGGTCGACAGGGAAAGATCGCTGGGGAGTCAGCAACAAGATGCTATCCACTTAAAACCATCTCAAATTGAGTGGGAAATGAGACCAGGAGAATCTTTATTTACACAAAACTGTCACAACTACGGAAAATAATGCCATGTGAAAGACTGCAGCAATTTTTAAAAGGAAGATAAACATTCAATGCAGGGTTATCTGGGAGGTGGACAGTGGAATTATTTTTAGAGAGTACCAGCAAAGAGTTGGCACAGACAGAATGGTCACGTTTTGTGCTGTAAAAGTCCATGGTTCAATGCAATCCTTTTCTCTAATGTAGGCTAGCAAGCATATTTGTTTTGGTACTCTATTGTCAATTCAGGGCCAAGGTTCAAATGCAGCTCATGCTGATGGGATTAAAGTATTCTCTCTCTGATGAAACGTGATTAGCGTCATCCAACTGAGGGAGAAGGATCTAAAGGTTTTCTTAACACCCAGCCATGAATTTTACAAGATGACAGTCTGGGAAATCTCAACCCAGGTGCCAGCAAATAAGTGATAAGTGCATGCTGCAGAACTGTTGTAATATTTTAATTCTAACTAGCACAAGCTTAACATGAATGGAAATACCACACTGGTACAGCAAGAGAGGTAGGGGTTTTAAGCACGCTGTCAGGCAGTCTAAGGGGCTCTGTATTATACACAATATATTGGAGCCACACTTGTCTGATCGAAATCTGCACAACTCTACCACTACGACAACGCAATCCAAATTCCCAGCAGTCACATCTCTCAGCTTGAAGAACTTACACACAGCAGACACACAGAAGTGAATACACAGACAGATTCACACTCAAATGCACCCATGTACCACGGGCATTCACTCACCCATTTGTTCACTCACTCTCCTCTCTCTGTTTGAACACAAAGACAAGTATGAGTGTGTGCATCTGCTCTCCCCTCACTTCCTTCCACACACGCGCAATCTTCTTCAGTTAGTTATGTGTTGATCAAATTTCAGCTGTCCTGGTTTTATTTTCCGACTCTGACATCCCCAAATTGAACAAAGTGACTTTAGGACATTATGGCTGACTCTAGAATGGGTGGCCTTGTCTTTACAATGTGTTAACTTGTGGTGGATTTGATTAACTAGCACCCATTCTTCTGTTGTCTTCTGATTTTTGATCTCCTTGCTTGCATCAGCTAGAAGGCCCTAAAACATAAAAAAAAACTTAATGTGAAGATGCCAGAACCTCTTCCTATTACCTTAAAATTGTTAGGTGAAGGCAAGGGATAGGGAGTGGTGTCATACAATGTCTTGAGACAACTGAGGCCTACCAATCTAGTGTAGAAAGGAGTAGAAAGAAAATACAATAACAAAGCAATGGTTTCATGGCATACCATGAGTTTTAAAAGTCTAAATGGATTGTAGGAGGAAGGCATGATTGTGGAAGGCAGACTTGAGAAGCCAGGAGTAGGAGAAGATGTTCAAAGAAGCTTTGGCCCAAACAGTATTAATGAAATACTGAAAGACATGTTACACACACCAACACTTGAAATGCACATGTACAGTCCACACGCACAAAGGGGAATCATTCTGCTTTCTATCCCCAAAATAAAACACCTACAATGGTCCAAACTTTCCGGTCAGTGTTGGAACCCCTATTTTGAAGGTGACCAGATTAAAATTCTATCCAATACCAGCCTTTGATTTTACTGGCCGATTGTCTAATGGGGGAGCCTTTTCAAACTTGGTCAGTGCAGGGAATTCTTGCAGGGAGCAGTGGAGAAAATCAGCCCAGAAGCCACATACCTTTTTTTTATGGTTAGGAAGTCAGGAGATGTGTCAGGGTTTGGAAAAACCTGCCAGAGGTTTAGTGGGGGACTTGGGGGGAAATCTGAAGTGGTGGAGATAGGTGGTTGGAGAGTGGGTCACTCTGGGGCTCAGGAGTTGGAAGGAGTGGGGTGTTTGGGGAAGTCGAGGGGAGGACTACTGATTGTAGAGTTACTGAGGAGTTCGACTAGGATTCTTTTGTCTAACATTACCATCCAGGTAATTAAATCAGAGCTGTTCAAAATCTCTGGACATTAACTTAGAGACATTTTGGGTGAGTCCTGGGAAGCAGGGGAATTTCCCATTGGAAGATCAAACTTCCTGGGCAATTCCTATGGAGTCATTGCATTGGGACTTCTATGAGATCCTAGGACCAGAACATTTGGAGACATTATTTAACAACACAGATATCACAACTACACATTCATGTGAAATAACAAATGCATGGTAAAATGATGCAACGCGGGAGGCACACATATAGTGACGGGCAATTAAAAACATGTTAAAAAAAACTGATTTATTCATGAAACAAGCTTACCAGTAATTAGTTAATGTCTGAACAACCTTCTGTTTCCTGGAGAAGAGAGAAGGGTCATTATAATAACAGTTGGACTCATAAAAAAACTCATTGCCAAGTAACATCTAAATCTCATCTGTGCTGAACATCTATAATCTTAACATCTCTAGGGTCTGACTATTCTACACTTTATTTCACTGTAACATTGGAACTGCAGGTAAGTTTTTATTTGGCAATACTGTCTGGCATTAAGACCTTGCTGAAGTGTCTAAACATTGTTACTGAGTTGGCAGTCTTGGTTCGGCTGGTGTCCAATTAATAGAGAGAAGGCTATGATCTTGATGTCTCGCAGAAATAATTTTTTAAAAAGTCTTTCATGTGGGAATTGCTGCTGTCCAAGCTTGATTGCCGCTGAGAATGCAGTGATGCTGCCTCCTTGAACTGTTGCAGTCTATTTGGTGTAGGGACATCCCCAATGCTGTTAGAGAGAGAGTTTCACGAATGGTGATTCAGACCCAAGTTAGGATAGTGTGTGGCTTAGAGGAGAACTTGCAGGTGGTGGCATTTCCATGTACCTGCTGGCCTTGTCCTTCTAGGTAGCTTAGGTTGTTGCAGGTTTAGAAGAGGATGTCAAAGCAGACTTGCCAAGTTGCTGCATTGCATCTTGTAGATGATACACAGTGCTGCCACTGTGCAGCTGTGGTAGAGGGAGTGGATGCTTAAGGCGATAGATGGAACAGCAATCACATGGACTGTTTTGTCTTGGATGACATGAAGCTTTTTGAGTGTTTTAGGGCTGCACTCATCCAGGCAAGTGGGGAGCATTCCATTACACTTGTCACTTATGAATGTAGACGGTAAATAAAGAGGCGTGTTACTTGTTGCAGAATTCCTAGCTTCTGACTTTCTGCTGTAGCCATCTTACTGTACAGCTAACCCAGTCCAGTTTCTAGTCAATAGTAACTACCAGAATGTTAACAGTGAGGCATTCAGTAATGATAATACTATTAGACATCAAAGGGCATTGGTTATATTCTCTCTTGTTGGAAATGGTCATTGCCTGGCACTAATATGGCATGAATATTACTCACCACCTATCAACTCAAGCCTGAATCTTGTCCAGGTCTTGCTGTATTGGAACATGAACTGCTTCTGTATCTGAGGCATCATGAATGATGCTGAACATTGTGCAATCATCAGTGAGCATCCCACTTTTACCTAATGATGGAGGGAAGGTCACTGATGAAGCAGTTGGAGATGGTTGAGCCTAGGACACCAACCTAAGGAACCCTCCTGCAGTGATGTCCTGGAGCTGAGATATCTGACCTCCAAAAGCATAACCATCTTCCCTGTGCCAGATAGGACTTCAATTTTGCTTCTAATTCCCATTGACTTCATTTTTGCTCAGAGGCTCCTTGATGTCATACTTAGTCAAATGCAGCCTTGATGTAAAGGGCAGTCACTCTCACCTCACCTCTGGGATTCAACTTCTTTGATCATGTTCCAGTCAAGGCTGTAATGAGGTCAGGAACTGACTGGCCCTGGTGAACCCAAACTGAATGTCCATTGGCAGTACCTAATCACTTCTAACTTCCTCATTCACAATGTCAGATCCTTCCTTGATTTTGGTGATATTGTCTGGGTCACACTTTCTTTTACTCCAATTGTTACAGTTTCTAGATTATCGATCATCTGTAATGAATTTGACCCAATGTTCTAATTATTATGTCTCTGGGTTATGAGACTGTCTGTTACATGCCAGATTATTGTAAATTAAAGCACTCTGTTTTATCTTACTTTTCCTTGTAGGTGATAAGAATTATTCATAAACCTACAATTCCTTCAGCTAGGCTTCTTACCAAATGATGGCTCACCATCCGACTGAACTGAATGCCTAAGATAATAAATCTTCCCGTTGCACAGACATTACTGAGTGTGGAGTATATTATTCAGGAGGTGAATACTCACTGGGTTTTCTGTGTACAACAGGCTCACAAACCTCTTTGTAGCAGGTATCCTGATGAACTTTATAAATTCTTTTATACCTTAAAAGCAAACATGAAACATGAGATTTATACTCCCACTGAGCGGTCGCAGAATGAAAGCCCAAACTTTCAATCTTCTCTAATCTCCACGACCTCCTGAAATATCCTGTTTCTTTCCATTTTTCTTTCCTCTAATTTGCTTTGATCAGCAAACTTCAAGGTTATCCATCTTTGTCAATGCCCAAATCTGTCTTTACACGAACATCAAAAGGCCCCAGTTTATATCATGAGGCCACACCTTTCCTCCTCTTCATATGTCCCAGGGAATGATTTTTACTAATGCATAAGCACTCCATTCTCTCAGACTAACACCTTGATAATCCTTGTGTCCTTTACGGCTTGCTGATTTTGATAGTTTCGCAAACTGACTCCCTGAATGATTCACATCCAAAGCAAGAATGGGAAACTTACTTAAGCTGGAAAACACTGTCCTCCCACACTGGAACAGATTTAGTTTCAGAGTACAGGCGTGTGCAGGGGTGAGGCAGCTTCTTACAAACTAAAGGCAAGATAAAAGCACCATTTAGAACACGACCCAGCATCAAACATCTTTCTATTTTGTTTCCTTTAATGACAAGCCAAAAGGCTCTGTGGTATACCCCAGTGTCACTATGTTATAACACACTGCCTATTCCAAACCTCCCACATTGCACATTATGAAACGCTGTTACACAGTATCCCCCGTTGTAGCTGATAACATTCACTATGTCAGATCCTTCCTTGATTTTGGAGATATTTTGTAGGTCATACCAGCTTTTATTCTAACTGTTATGCTTTCTAGATTTTCAACCATCCATAATGAATATCACACAATGTTCTAATTATTATGTCTCTTGGTTATGAGACTGTCTGTTACATGCCCGATTCTTGTAAATTACAGCACTCTGTTCTATCCTACACTCAGTGGTAAAGCTCTTAAGTATGATGCACGGCCTTAATAGATTTTGGCTCAGTAATCTTTTCTTACATAATTCACAGTGTTTTCCCTTGAATCCTGTTTCACAATCACACATGTATGAGTCCATCCCCTTCACGCAAGTACCTCCATTTTTACAGGGGTTTGAGGAACATTCCCATTGATCATCTGTAATTAGGGAAATAGCAATTGGAGATAACAGCACAAACAAAGGACTAGCAAACAGAAAGGCAAACAGACATTATACTGCAAACTGCAACGAGGACATCACATTGTAGCTGGCATATTGACAATCATAAACCTGTCCCACACTCAGGTACTGCCACCTTCTTTACCTTCACACAGCTTCCCCTGTTGTACATAGCTTTGAAACGGTTAATGCTTTCTTGAGAACAATAACCACCACCTATTTGGATAATGCCAAGGGAACGTGGTCAGTGTAAAGAAGGAGCTGGTAGGAGACAGACCTGGGACTAGTGTGTTCCAACAGTCTCTGGAGTAATGCACACGATATTCATGTTGCCTCTAAATAGATGCAGTGATACAATAACGTTAGAATAATTTTTGTTTTCTTCATTCATGGGAAGTGGGCATTTATTGCCCATCTCCAGTTGCCCTTGAAAAGGTGGTGGTGAGCTGCCTTCCATGTGCTGTGAGTAGATCCACAATGTTGTTAGGGAGGGAGTTCCAGGATGTTGACCCAGTGACAGTGAAGAAATGGAGATACATTTCCAAGTCAGGATGGTGAATGGCTTGGAGGGGAACTTGCAGTACTTATGTATCTGCTGCTCTTGTCCTTCTAGATGGAAGTAGTATGGGTTTGCAAGTGCTGTCTAAGGAGCCTTGGTGAATTTCTGCAGTGCATCCTTGTAGATGGTACACACTGCTGCTACTGAGCATTGGTGGTGGAGGGAGTGAATGTTTGTGGATGTGGTGCCAATAAAGTTGGCCATCTTGTGTCAAGCTTCTTGGGATTGCTGGAGCTGAACACGGTCAGGCAGGTCGAGAGTATTCCATCACACTCATGATTTGTGCCTTGATGATGGTAGACAGGCTTTGGGGAGTTAGGAGGCGAGATATTTGTTATTTTATTCTTAGCTTCTGACCTGCTCTTGTAGCCATTGTGTTTATACGACCAGTCCAGTTCAGTTTCTCGTTAATGTTAACACGAAGGATGTTGCTAGTGCAGGATTCAGTGATGTAACACCATTGAATGTCAAGGGTCGATCATTAGATTCTCTCTTGTTGGAGATGGTCATTGGGGAGGCAATGGCCTAGTGGTATTATTGCTAAACTACTAATCCAGAGACCCTGGTAGTATTCTGGGGACCTGGGTACAAATCTTGCCGTGGCAGATGGTGTGATTTGAATTCAATCAAAAAAATCTGGAATTAGGAGTCTAATGGTGACTCCAAAAGAACAGCTAGCTTCTTTGACATTTATGAAAAATTCCAAGACTTGTTGAAACTATACTAGAGACTCTCCAGCCCAGATCTGGGAATTCTTGGAATGGAAAACCACAGTTGCAAGTCCTCAGGAGCCCTAACTGAATCCTTCTCTTCCTCATCCTGTGCCATGTGAAGTCCCAGGCACTACAGGAGCAGAGATCATAAATCAGACTTGCAACCTGTGTTTTTTGTGTCTCAGCTCTAACTGGCCAGCGTTAACTCAATGTTACTAAATGGCTACTTGGACCTTTAGTTTAATTATCCGTTATTAGGATAACTCCTCACTGAAAACTAACCCCATACAAAAGGCGTCCACAGACTCTTCATAAGAATCTTACCTGGTTTAGTGTTGGTCTCAGATTCTTGGATCTCCAAGGCCAGACTAATACGATTTGTCGATTCTTCCAAGTTTTCCAGTTTGATTGGTGGCTCTGGGCCTAGCCAAGAAATCAAAGATGTGCAGAGCCATCATTTAGATCAAGATGATGGATCAAACAATACAGCACTGCTTTAAAACACCGGTCCTCGGCTGCAGGCATTTCTGGTTTGCCATGAGCAATTTTCACCTTCCAGCAGTGCATTGAGTGAATGAAGGACAACTCAATGCACTGAGGAGCTATTCACTTCATGTTAAACTGAGTGAGTTTCAATTTTCGAATCATGCAATATCTGAGCCATAAGTTAGAAGATGGCACAATGCAATGCCGCTGAATGAAGCCAGGATTATTGTGACAATCTGCAATGTGACAGAATTAAAAGTCACTTGCAACATCTGCAGTCTCTCTTTATTTGATGATGCTAATGTGAAATCAGCTTTGCTTGTCAATAAAACTGCCATACTGAGCCACGCAACTTTCTAAGAAAATGAATTGGCACGAATATGCTTTTGCTTGTAATTTCCATTAAGAATCAGTGTGGAAGCAGGCCATTCGGCCATTGAGTCCACACTGACCCAGAAAAGAGCATCCCAGCCCATTGCTAATCCACCTACCCTGCACATCTTTGGACACTATGGGCAATTTAGCATGGCCAATCTACCTTACCTTTGGACTGTGGGAGGAAACCAGAGGATCTGGAGGAAACCCATACAGACACAGGGAAAATGTGCAAACTCCACAGAGACAGTCGCTTGAGGGTGGAATGGAACCTGGGGTCCCTAGCGCTGTGAGGTAGCGGTGCTAACCACTGAGCCACCATGCTATCCATGTCATGTCATGTTGATGGAATTTGGAGGCAAATTCTATCGCACTTTGTGGATCAATTGGTGAAAAATCAATAGGGTATTTGTAAAATAGTCATAACACCTGAAAACGAATTGAATCAAAGTTCCAAAGATTAAAAAACAGAGTCTAATACAGTACAGTGCTAAATCCCTTTGACCAAAATCATGGTCATTGTATTCTAATGTATCCCTCTGGTTAGCTCAGCATCCTTTTTTTCAGTTATAACTCTGAGAAAGATGTTGGATACTTCTTCGTGCTAAAGGTGCTATGTAAACGTAAATTGCTGTTGTACTGTGAAGGGTCAAGTCTTCTGGAAAATTAACATCAACCATGCAAGCTGACTGCGTTCTGGTACCTACGTGTCAGGAGAGTTATGGGATTTTGCTGCAGATTCGAAAAGGTAGCACTGATTCTCCCTCTCCCGTCCAGCATCTCCGAGTATCTGAAAATCAAATCCAAGCCAACTTGCTTTATTTTTCCGTCAAAATTTCCAATTCACACAGGATCATCGGATCGTTAGCAGCTACAACATGAGTTGAGTCAGAGAGAAACAATACAAAGTGCAGTTGCATGCAGCCCTTTTCTGTGGGTTGCTACCCGTAATCATTGAAATCTGAAATGAGCTTTGCGGTGCACATATACACTTCCTGCACAACTTGTGCCAGGTGCCATACTCGGGATAGAGTTAGAACACAGGCAGTGAGTATCTGTTAGATGTACAGAGCGTTGGCAGATCATGATATCAATTAAAGTTTAACTTGACTTTATGCCAATGTTCTCTTAATATTTAAGTACTAATTAATGCTAAGGTTTATTGCTATATTAACACCCTCTTGATTGCCCACACGGCTGACCAGCAGCAGAAAGGATCCTGCATGAGTGTCTTTGATAAGTGTCATTAACTACTTTCAGAGTAGCTGCTGTTGATTTCTGGCTGTTGTTAGGATTGTACATTATATGACTCTTTAAAGTTGCTAGAGTTTACACAGAGTGATATAGCATCGCTGAACAAGTCAGTCCCGATCTTATGACTTGCCAATAGACCAGTTAGCTCAGCTGGTGGGATGGCTGGCTTGCAATGCAGAGTGATGCCAATAGCGTGGGTTCAGTTTCCACATCAGCTGAGGATACTATGATGGTCTTGCCTTTTCAACCTGTCCTCTCATCTGAGGCATGGAAACCCTCACGTTAAACTCACAACTGGTTGTCCCTGTCTCTACGGTCCTCTGGGACTACAGTATAACCTGAACATTTTCCTTTTCAAATAACAGTCTAATCCCCTCTTGAATGTCTCAGTTGGAACTGCCTTGACCTCCCTTGGTCCTTTTTTGCTTCATCTGTTTTACTTTTGTTGGACCTTGGTGTAGTGTTCCTCATTTAGGGAGGTCATTTTCTAACTTGGCCCCACTGGAGGGAAGGCCTGAGATTAGAGTTTCATTGCAGGCAAGGGATTTAAATGAAGATTTTTTTTTAGAAAGTGAAGTGTTCCACCTACTTTACGATTTGGGAATTGTCCTCGTAGCTTCCATTGCCAGTTTCCATCTCATCAGGCTGCAATGTGATGTGCAGCTGATTATTGTACATGCCACAATCCTCAGGATCGGAATTCTCCTTTGAGTCTCCTTGTGTTTCCCCTTGCCTTGTGTTACTTTGAATTCTCACTAAGGAAAGGCACAACACAACTGGTGTCATTAGCTGACATTGGCCCTTATAGGTGGAATTAAAATCCTCACCACATCATAACTTCCAAGACTGTAAGGCCTTAGGTCACTGTCACTGAAGCCTATTTGAAAGATCTGAGATATTATTCAGTCACTTGGTCATGCAGAACTTGAATACTGCTGAAAAAAAGACATTGCAATATCTTGCATTCATCAGGACACAATCACAAGAATACCAAAACTCAAAGGAAACAATAGAATGGCTTAAATCATTGTTTCCTTTGAGATTTGGTATTCTTGTGACTCTGTGCTTAAAGGCAAGTTGAAAAGCTTCACCAGCAAGCCTTTTTTTCTCAGTAATTTAGTGATCAAACATACACCCAGTGTACTGACTGTGCAGAACTAGTATTGTACATGTGTTCCTTCAACTACTCACAGTGACGTTTTTTGCTGAGTGAACCAAATAGCAGTTACATAGCACCTTTGACTTAATGAAACAACCCAATGCATTTTACAGAAGCATCGGAAGACAACAACTGACACCAAACCAAAGGAGGAGATGTTCGGATAGATGACCAAGGGCTTGGTGAAGCAGGTGGACTTTAAGCAGCATCTTATAGAGGAGAAAGAAATGAAGAGGTTAATAATGGACTACCACATTTGAGGGCCTAGGCAGGTGATGGCAATGGTGGGGTTAACAAAGTCAGCGGATGCTTATAAAGTTAGAGTTGGAGGGACATGTAACTTTTTGGAGGCTTGTAGCACTGAAAGAGGTTATAGAGATCAGTAAGACTAAGAGCAGGGAGAGATCTGGCCACAATCATTAAAATGTTTGAAGGTGTCACCTCAGTGGCTGTAACCTAACCTGGCATTTGCTCTCTTTGCACAGGTATAAATGTTTCCTTTACCATGTCCAAGTCTTTCACAGTCTATGGAGCTGCACACTTGGTTAGTGGGTAAGTATTCTTCTGAAATTCGTGTACAAATACTCCTTGTCCTACAGTGTTGCTGAACAAAGCGACATAGGGATGCGCGTTCATAGCTCCTTGAAACTGGAATCACAGGCAGACAGGGTAGTGAAGAAAGCGTTTGGCACACTTGCCTATGTTAGTCAGAGCATCGAGTGTAGGAGTTCGGGTGTCATGTTGTGGCTGTTCAGGTCATTGGTGAGGCCACATCTAGAATACAGTGTACCTGTTTGCCCTTCTATAGGAAGGATGCTGTTGAACTTGAGGGTGCAGAAAAGATTCACAAGGATGTTGTCGGGACTGGAGGGTTTGAGTATAGGGAGAGACTGAATAAGCTGGGGCATTATTCCCTGGAGCATCAGAAGTTGAGGGGTGACCTCATAAAGTTTTATAAAATCATGAGGGGCATGGATAGGGTAAATGGTCAAGATCATTTTCCTTGGGTAAGGGAGCCCAAAACTAGAGGACATAGGCTTAAGGTGAAATGGGAAAGATTTGAAAGGACCTGAGGGGTAACTTTTTCACACAGAGGGTGGTGCATGTATGGAACAAGCTGCCAGAGGAAGTGGGGAAGGTGGGTACAATTACAACATTTAAAAGGCACCTAGATGGGAACATGAATAGGAAGGGTTTAGAGGGATATGGGCCAAATGCTGGCAAATAGGACTAGGTCAGATTGGGATATCTGGTCAGCATGGACAAGTTGGACTGAAGGGTCTGTTTCCTAGCTGTATGACTCTATGACTGTACTTCAAAAACACCTCATTGGTGATCAAGTGCTCTGGGTCTTTTTGAGGTTGGGAAAGGTGCTATTGAAATGCGAAGTGGTTTTCTAGACAAGAGGATCGATGCAACCAGAAAGATCATTGCAAAGTAGGGAGACACTGCCCTGACAGAGAGATGGTAAAATTGAACAACATTGGCAAAATTAATGCAAAACACAAAAGTAAGTACAATTAAACATAGCAAAACCAAAAGACAAAAAACCAAATTCATCAAGCTACTACAAACATTGCTTTAGGGCCAGGATGTGATCCATCATGTTGATGGAACTTCAGTGAACCTCAGAGGTTTAGTGTGAGATAAGAAGTATAAATCACTGCTGGAAATACACTGGCTGTTTTGAGATGGATCTGAATAGAACTATGCTAGGTCATTGCCATGAAGCAGTAACTCAATTTGACCTCCTATTCATAATTTCCTCCAGGTCAACATCAGGGTGGACAAAGCCTGTGTCTTCAACCCCTGCTCCATTGACACTGATGACATCTTATTCCCCACCACACAGTCACACTGAAGCCGATTCTCTGTTCAACCTTGAAGACGAGGCTCCCATCTTAGGTCAAAACCACTGACTTAAAACCTATATCCATTTAATGTGAAAAACACCATGGGTCATTTCTTTAACTTAAACGTATTATATAAATGCACAATGCTGCTGTTGACTGTTGGAGGTGATTAAGCTATTAAAGAACAAAGCATCTGCAGCTACGTTTTGATAAGACAAGGAAAATTCTGAAGAACAAATGAAAACATTTTGGTGAAAGGTTGATCCACATGCAGTATCTTTACTGGTGTACTATTCTTACCTGTAAGGATGGTAACATTCCCCATCTTGCAGTTAACTGCAGTTAACATCATCTTGTTCCCACTTTTTATCTTCTGATACATCTTCTGTATAACTCACCCTCTTTTCCAATCTTCCCTTTCTATCCTCCTCTCAAATCTGTTTCCACATAGTATGCTCTTTTCAGTCCTTGTGCCTTTTTACTACTTCCCTTCTGTCTGCCAATTTCCATCTTGTCTACTCTAAGTCTCTTCAATCTCCCTTCCTGATATATTTTCTCTCTTATCATTCTCTGTCTGCACTTCTCTTCATCACCCCTGCATTCTGCACCCTACCATCCCAGGTCTGGGTTGCATGCCCTCTGCAGTATCTTCGATCTCCAGTTTGTATTTTTATTATACCGTTCTCTCTCCAATGTCAGCATGTTATCTTGTTCCCATGTCCCATCAACTGCCTGTATCTTCTCCTGGCCTCTTCCTTTTCCCAGTTGGTATGCGTACTCTAATCTTTGCTCTCCCTTATTTATGTCCACTCTCTCTTGTAAAAAGATTGTGTCCTTTTTTTTGTTTTTATGTCTTTAAAAACTGCAGACTGCAATTAAAAATAACTTTTTTAAAAAAAATCACTCATGGGATGTAAGCATCGCTGGCTAGGCTCGCATTTATTGTCCAGTCTTAGTTGACCTTTAGAAGGATATAATGAGTTATCTTCTTGAACGACTGGAGTTCACACTCTGTAGGTAGATCCACAATGCCATAAGAGAGGGAATTACAGCATTTTGACCCAAAAACTGCTATTTTTGAAAAACTTGGATTTACCAGATTGGTTGCATAATATCACAGCAAGGGATTTGACCCTATTGTGACCTCTGTTTTCATGGCTGTGGATTCCTGCAATGTGCAGATGATCAGGAGCCAAGTTGTTTACAAGTAGTTCATAGCTAACTGAGCTGGTTGGAATAGGGCACAAGTTACGGAGACCCAGACACACACAGGTAGTGAAAGAAAGAGTGAGAGAGAGAGAGAGAGAGAGAGAAAGAAATATGCAAAAGAACGTACAGTGCAGCTCGCCCAGCAGAAGCTGCCTGTTCTTTGCAGTAAAAAAAGTTGAGATTTGAAGAAAACCAGGTACCTTTCTTCTACCCCTTGCTGTGAGCTGTGATCATTGAATTGACAAATTTGAGACATTCACCAAGTGAATTAATCACTGCGTACTTCCTACAAACCAGTGAAAGCTTCCAGAGGAAGACAAATAAATAGCGAAGGCCTTCCTAATCAAAGAAAGATCATCTCATAATTGAAATCGGGAAGTAAAGACCACGAACTGACTTTGCAGTTTTTTTCTACTTCCAATAACGCATTTTCTCAGTTTGTTTGTGCGTGTGTCTGTGTTTGTGTGTATGTGAGTGTGCGCAAGCGCGTGCGTGTGTGTGTGTAATGGGAGTTTAAGGGGATTAGCATTTTAGTTAGTAAAGTTATATGCCAATGGTTTATATCTATATATCTGTAGCTATAATTACTCATAATAAATAATGCTTCTTGCCGCGTACAAAAATCTGGTCCATACTTTCTATCAAGCTTGATCTGACAGTCAGTAAAATTGGAGTACTGTGTATACCTTAACAAAAACTTTAACAGCACCCAAACCCAGTAAAATATTTTTTCCACAGCATGTCAGTGTAGCCATCAAAGCCAGGATTCGTTGCCCGTTTGTAACATAGAACATAGAACATAGAACATTACAGCGCAGTAAAGGCCCTTCGGCCCTCGATGTTGCGCTGACCTGTGAAACCAATCTGAAGCCCATCTAACCTAAACTATTCCATTATCATCCATATGTTTATCCAATGACCATTTAAATGCCCTTAAAGTTGGCGCGTCTACTACTTTTGCAGGCAGGTCATTCCACGCCCTTACTACTCTCTGAGTAAAGAACCTACCTCTGACATCTGTTCTATATCTATCACCCCTCAATTTAAAGCTATGTCCCCTCGTGCTAGCCATCACCATCTGAGGAAAAAGGCTCCCACTGTCCACCCTATCTAATCCTCTGGTCATCTTGTATGTCTCTATTAAGTCACCTCTTAACCTTCTCTCTAACGAGAACAGCCTCTAGTCCCTCAGCCTTTCCTCATAAGACCTTCCCTCCATACCAGGCAACATCCTGGTAAATCTCCTCTGCACCCTTTCCAATGCTTCCACATCTTTCCTATAATGTGGTGACCAGAACTGCCACTTGATCTGAGTGGTTTGGTAGGGCATTTCAGAGGGTAGTTAAATGTCAATCACATTGCTGTGGTTCTTCAGTCACATTTAGGCCAGATTGGGTCAGGTTGGCAGACTTCTTTCCTAAAGGATACCAATGAATCCAATGGGTTTTTACAACAATTAATAGTAGTTTGGCCAACATCACAAAAATTCAATTTCAATTACAGATTTATTCATTGAATTAAAGCTCCACCAGCCACCATGACCTACAACTGTGTCACTCTTCCCACTGTTTACATCCTCTCAAAGACTCCTCCCTAGCCTGTCTCCTTCCACGCATATCCTCAGCTTAATCAGCGAATGCTTCCGAATTCTGGCTTCTTCTACTTACACGTGCTGATGGTCAGGTAGGCAGGATCGCTTAATAGCTTTCCCCTCTCGGTGTCCCGCACTGCCATTAGTGCCAGGTTGTACCTACGTCCAGCGGCAAGGTCACGGAGCGTGTAGGCCGTTAACTTTCCATTGGGAATGTAGCGGCTTTTCATTTCACAGGGGGTTGTGCTATTGAGAATGTAACCATTACTTGGGCCAGTCAGGGGGCTATTCCAGCGTAGCCTTGCTGTTGTTGTTGTGACACCAGCCAGCACAAGGTTCTGAGGAGGCAGTGGCCCTGTGACAGAAAGACACAGTGAGCTTCTGTTAGTTACTTTATTCCCGGAGATGTCCTTTCCACCTTGCTGCAATCACAGTGGCCCATGGGAAGCTACATTCCAGTCACTGAGAACCAGAAAATCAGATTCCATTGCTAGACATAATAGGACTATCATCAGGCACTTGAGTTTACATCTTGGAAGCATCTGTGGAGAGAGAAACAGAGTTAACGTTTCACATCACGACCTCTCATCATCGTGTAATAGGCACTAAGCTGTTGAAATAAGGGGAAGGTGGAAAAGTAAACATAAAGAACGTCTGTGCCAGGGTTACAGGTAAGAGGGATTAAATGGCAGAAAAGTTGATGGGGCTGAGCCAAAAACAGCAGCAATGAAAGATGGAGTTTGTTAGCTGGACAGCTAGTTGGCAATGGAGAGTGATGACAACAGTGTGGGTTCAATCCCTACACCAGCTGAGGTTACCGTGAAGGACTCTCCTTCTCAACCTCTCCTCCTGCCTGGCACGGTGACCCTCAGATTAAACTGCCACCAGTTGTCTTTATCTCTAACTGGAGAGAAGTCCTGTGGTCCAATCAGACTATTACCACTTTACCTTTACCATTTAGTAGCAGGACAAGTAAAGAGACAACAGATGTGTCCACTGAAACAACTGCCATCTGAAAGCAGAAATAAGAAAAACAAGCTGAAACATACAAAAATGATGGGCAGGTATTATGGTCTGAAACACCTTGTTGAACACAGAAGACATCAAAATTCATTTCATTCCCTCACTTCACCCCAACTCTTTTGTCTCCTGTCTTCTACACTATTACAGACCTTTATCCCTTGTGTTCATTTTCCACCTTCCACTACATGACAACCTTACAAGGTTCTAAGGAACATGGTCCAACATGTGGGGCACAATCGGCGATAAGTACAATGATACCTATCTTGATGTTGACAGCGACTCGCACTATCTTTTATGTTTTTCACAAGTGGTGCGATGAGATTCTCACTTGGTAATGGGGAGTTGCTAATTAACAGTTATTATTGTTTTGTTGATAAAGCTTGCCTCATGAATATTCAGCCTTCCATTTTACCAAATCAGCTGATGTTGGAAAAACTCGGTAAGGAAACCAAAGAGAGCATCTGGTGTATTCAGCTCACGTTGTGCTCTGAACGACTGCCATATTGGAACAAGAACAGAAGTTGCTGGAAAAGCTCAGCAGGTCTGGCAGCATCTGTGAAGAAAAAAAAATCACAGTTAACATTTCGGGTCCAGTGACCCTTCCTCAGAACTGCTCCACTATTCAATGCAATAATGGCTGATCTACCAAGAACTCCACTTTTCACATCTCTTGATGCAAAACCAAAAATATGTCGATCCCAGCCTTAAATACATTGAGCAACGAAGCATACACAACTATTTTTGTCAGAGAGTTTCAAAGATGCACAATCATTTATATCTCAGTCTTAAATGATGGGTTTTTATCCCGAGACTGTCCTCTTGGGTTCTAGACCATCCAGCCAGAAGAACCTGCACTGCAGTATCTACCCAATAAGATCACCTCCCGTTCTTCTAAATAAAAAACTGAAAGAACTGTGGATGCTGTAAGTGAGGAACAAAAACAGAAATTGCTGGAAAAGCTCAGCAGGTCTGGCAGCTTCTGTGAAGAAAAAAATCAGAGTTAATGTTTCAGGCCCTTCTGAGGAAGGGTCACCGGACCCGAAACATTAACTCTTGACTTTTTTCTTCACAGATGCTGCCAGATCTGCTGAGCTTTTCCAGCAACTTTGTTTTTGTTCCCATTCTTCTAAACTCTGGAATATCATAGATCCGGTTTACTCAGCCTCTCATCAGAGCACAACCTTCTCATAGCAGTGAGTAATCGAGTGAATCTTTGCTCTATTACTTTTCATACAACATTATTCCTCCTTAAATGTGGAGACCAACACTGTGCACAGTGTTCCTGGTGTGGTTTCCCCAAAGCCTTACACAATTCTAACAAAGGCAGCACGGTGGCTCAGTGGTTAGCGCTGCTGCCTCACAGCGCCGAAGACCCAGGTTCAATTCCATCCTTGGGTGATTGTCTGTGTGGAGTTTGCACGTTCGCCCTGTGTCTGTGTGGGTTTGATCTGGTCTTTGCCCATAGTCCAAAGATATGTTTAGTGGATTGGCTGTGTTAAATTGCGCACAGTGTCCAGGCATATGCAGGCTAGGTGAACTAGCCATGGGAAATGCAGGGATGGGCTAGGTCTCTGTGGGATGCTCTTTGGAGGGCTGATGTGGACTTGATGGGCTAAATGGCCTGCTTCCACACTGCTGTAGTCCTTTACTCTTATGCAGTAAAGGCCAACATGATATTGGCCTTCCTAATTGCTTGCTGCGTCTCCATGTTAATCTGCTGTGTTTCTGGTATGAGGACCCTTAGAACTTCAACACTTGGAAGCGTCATGTCTCTCTTCACCAAAAGGTAATAAATGCACAAGGGACTGTGCTCTTGGCCTATGGGTTTCCTGATACAGAAAACATAGGGAATCCCACTAGTTTGTCCTTGCATGTAGTTACATTATTATGCAATAATGTGGCAGCAATGTTAACATTCCCTGAATGAAGTTTATAAGAAAATAAAATATGACACAAAATCCTAAAAATGAAGAGCAAACACTAAAACTGTGGAAGTTGTCAGGACCTTACTTGAATAATGGAGCAGACTTGGGAGGGTGAATGGCCCACCTCCGTTCTTAATTTTGATGTTCTGCCATGAGGGGTTATCAAAGCTTTACAAAACACTCTAACGGACTGACACACAGTGACCATCAGTTCATTTAATCCAAGGAGCAATGATTGCCTGCCTAACCCACTGTCAAGCACGAAGCTTAGACACTTTCAGGTGCAATGAGGTGTGATGCCCTAAAGAATGCTTCAGAGCTGATCAGAACCTACGTGTCCACACAGGCAGGGGTGGAGCCGCAAGACCCTCCAAAAAGCTTTCCCGAGTGTCCAGGCTCATCTGTGGCACGGCCTCCACTGTGTAAAATACTCCCGGAGAAAGGTCCCTGCGGATGAACAAGAAGGAAAAACAAGTGATCCATTACTTTAAAGGTCATCGGCCTGGCCATCAAGCATTCCTTGCACCATACCTCGCTAACCCCAATCCATCCCAAAATCTTCACAGTACTGACTATATTTGGGATATGGGTGCACAGGTACAGGAGTCAGTCAAGGTACAATGCCCACTATGTCCAGTGATCAGCCTGCACTCTTGACCCCAGAATGTACTCGTCAATTGTGGTCATGTCAATGTCGTATTACAACCTCATATGATGGGCAGGATTTTATGGGAAGGTGGCGTCGGGGGGGCGGTTTGATGTGGTGCGGTTTTGGCTTGATGGCAGCCAGGAAGCAGGGGGCAACCCAGATAGTGACTTTGTGAGGGGGCTCTCAGCCATCTTTTGTGTCCACTGATCCCAATTAGTGCGCTGTTAGCTTTTCAGTCTCAGGAGCTCCATTGGGAGGCAGTGGCTATGGCAGGGGCTACATGCAGCTGAGAGGATACGAACCTCAAAACATGTTGAGTGCAGTTGGGGCCAAAAAGGAGCAGAAATTGGGGCAATTGGAGGAGATTGGTAGGAATATCATTGCTGGGTGAGGGAAAGGGTGGAGCATTATCACATTGGCAGCCATTCCCACTAGGGAGTTCTATCTGGGCCACATAACAATTGATTAGGAGGACCGTTCCATTCCCTGGACACCCATCTTCATGGCAGACATTCCATTTAAGACAGGAGTCACCAATCACTATTAAAATGTCAGTGTCAGCTAGAAAAGGCTTTTAATTGATTCATAAAGTGACACCAGGATCAAGCAACAAGGAAGGTGACAGCTGCTGGTGTTGGGTGCATATGAATTCAGTTTGGTTCAACCTAGCACTGGGTGTGTGCATGTGCAGAGTTAGAAATGCTTTCTTTTCTAAGGATTTCAATAAAAGAACAGATTAATTAAAGACGAGATAAAACTGAACTCAAATTAAGTGCATCAGATATACCCTTTTTGTCAGGAGCACATATAAGTAGGCAACTTGGTATGGCTTTGCACTTCAGAGTGCAAGTTACAATAGGGTTTTAGCGTTGAACATCTTAAAGGATTGAGAGGTGGAAGGACAGGGGTGTTTGGTTGATTTTGAGTAAGCAAAGCAACTGATTAGTCAGTAGGATTGGTGAGTATTTCCAGTCCTTAAAGAAAAAATAAGGTCTTTGGTTTGCTTTAGGTCTCTAGTCTGTCTCTTTTTCTTAAAAACTAGCTTGTCAAATATAAAGATTGATACTTATATAAAGAAATTACGATAAAGGGTAAAGAGCAGGGATACTAGAGCAATTCATTAATAAATTTAATAAAATATGATAGAGGTGGCAGGTAGGTGATGTGTTGCTGCTGCCGCATGTGGGAACTGCTGGATGCCGAGAAGATCCAGTCTGACTACAGCACAGTTAAAGGCCTGATGGCCATTGAGTATGCAGTGGCGAAAACCAACTACCTAACTATTCTAATCCTATTTTCCAGCTCTTAGCCAATAGCAATGTATGCCTTGGCCTCACAAGTGCACATTTATAGCAAGTATTTGTAGCACTATGAAATTTGGATGTGAGTCAAAAAACTGGAGTCTGAGCTTTAGACATTGTGCCACATTAGGGAAAGAGAAAGTAACCTGGACATTTTGCTCCAGTAGGTAGTCACAACCTGCAGATAACTACAGGTGAGGTAGATATGGGTAATCAAGGAGTAACCTTCAAGAAACCTCAGGCCCTGCAATTGCCTGACAGTTAAAAGGTTTGAGTAAGCTGTGGAGTTGAGAGTGGAGACTGTGAGGAGGACGAGCAAACTGGACATGGCACCATTGTACAGGGAGTGGGGGAGGAAATGGAGGCATTGTATTATTAGGGGACAGTATAGGGAATAATTAGGGAAATGGATATAGCTCTCTGCATCTTTGTGTAAGTCCCAAAGCACTTTGTTACCTGCCCTGTGCCAGAGTTAAGGACAGGAGAGGACCTTGGAGGGGGAGAGAAGGGATCCAGTTTTCATCATCCATGATAGTACCAGTGACATTGATAGGACTAGGACGGGGATTCTGCTGAAAAATATTGAACATTAGGAGGTATATTAAAGAAACAAAATCTCCAATAATCTTGGGATTATGACATGAGCCAATGGTCACTTGAACAAAATATCTAAGGCTCTAGAGAAGGCTTTAAACTCATTGGGCAGTGGTGGGACGGAGGCTGTTCTAGAGACAGGATATGTAAACTTACAAACAAAGATGAAATGGCAATATAGCAGGGCAGCTATCTAGGTGATTATATCCATAGTGGGACTAGTAAGGAACAGAGTACATGTACGTAAGAGAAATAACAGGATATTGAGGGCAGGGTTGGGGGAGGGGGCAGGCAGTGTGAATAAATGGCAAAAAGGCAAAGTTAATGTTTAGAGGGATAGGGGCCAAATGCTGGAAAATGGGACTAGGTCAGATTGGGATGTCTGGTCGACACAGACGAGTTGGACGGAAGGGTCTGTTTTGTGCTGTATGGCTCAATAATGCATCTTTCCCTAAAGATGCAGAATTAGGAACAAAATAAATGAATTCATGGCATAACAGAGCAGAGATAATGGATGCGCTGGAAATAAACTTCGAGGAATCCTGAGATTACAGAAAAGTCCCTGAGAATTGGAAAATTCCCCACAGGAACAGCTTTATTTAAAAAAAGGAAGGAGACAACAAATAAGTAACCATTGGCCATTAGCTTAAAGTCTGTCATTGGGAAAATGTTACAGTTGAACATAAAGGATGTACTCGCACAGCATTTAGAAATACATAATAGCATAAAAGAGTCAGCATGGCTTTATGAAAGGGAAATCATGCCCAGTGAAACCTATTAAAATTCTTTGATGCGTTATAAGCAGGATATATAAAGGGAAACCAGTGGGTGTAATATTTTTGCATTCCAAAAATCATTTGATAAGGTACTACACATTAGGCTATTTAATAAGAACCAATGGTGTTGAAGGTGGTATATTGGTATGGGCAGAAGATTGGCTAAATAATAGAAGACAGAGAGTTGGAGTAAAGGAAGCATTTTACAGATGGCAACCTTAACTTGTGCAAGAACCATGGGGATTAGGGCTGGGGCCACAATGATTTGAAATAGATATACTAATGACTTGGATCAGGGAAATGAATATATCATAGTCACGTTTGGGAATGACACAATAATAGGTAGGAATGCACATGGAGAGGATGACACAGAGTCTGCAGAAGGCTTTAGACAGGATAAGTGAGAAGCAAAATCACGTCAGATGGAATAAACGTGGTAACAGATGTGGTTGTACTCTTTTGCAGGAGGAACAGAGGAACTGAAAAGTATTCAATTGGAGAAGGACTGCAGAAAGTTGCAGCACACACAGATTTGGGATCCTCATGCATAAATCACCTAAAATACAGCGTACACATTCAGCGTGCATGAGGAAAACCAACTGGAATGGTAGTCTTTATTTCAAAGGGAATGGAGAGTATGAAAATAAGGAAGTCTTGCTGAAATTGGGCAAAGCACTAATCAGACCAAAGCTGGGACATTGCAAACAGCTTTGGGCCCCTTATCTAAGGGAAGATGTAATGGCATTGGAGTCAGTACAGAGAAGGTTCACTCGATGCATTCCAGGTACAAAGGGGTTTTCTTATGAGGAAAGATTGGGCTTATACTGATTAGAATCCAGAAGAATGACAAGCGATCTCTTTGAAACATATGATACTTAGGAAGCATGGCAGGGTAGATGCAAATAAGTTATTTCCCCTTCAGGGAGAATCTTAAATCCATTTAAAACAGATAAGAATTTTTTTCTCTCAGATATTAGTGGATTTGTGAATCCTTTCTTGTAGAGGGCTGTGGAGGCCAGGTCATTAAGTATATTCAAGGCTGAGATAGACAGAGCTGAGATGCAATTTGGCATTCAATTCTGGTCTCCCTGCTTTAGGAAAGATGGTGTGAAATTTGAAACAGTTCAGAAATGATTTACAAGGTTGTTGCCAGGGTTGGAGGCTGAATAGGCTGGGGTTATTTTCCCTGGAGCATCGGAGGCTGAGGGGTGACCTTATAGAGGTTTATAAAATCACGAGGGGCCTGGATAGGGTGAATAGCCAAGTCTTTTCCCCAGGGTAGGGGAGTCCAAAACTAGAGGGCATAGGTTTAAGGTGAGAGGGGGAAGATTTAAAAGGGACCTCAGGGAGAACATTTTCACATAGAAGATGGTGCGTGTGTGGAATGAACTGCCAAAGGAAGTGGTGGAAGCTGGTACAAGTACAACATTTAAAAGGCATTTGGATGGGTATATGAATAAGAAGGGTTTAACAAGATATGGGCCAAATGCTGGCAAATGGGACTAGATTAATTTAGAATATCTAGTCGGCATGGACAAATTGGACTGAAGGGTCTGTTTCCGTGCTGTACATTGTTATGAATCTATGACAGGTTGTAATCAGTAAGGGTATCACAGATTATGTGAAAGAGGCAGGAATGTGGAGTTGAGGATTAACAGGTCAGCCATGATCTCATTGAATGACAGAGCAGACTCAATGGGTTGAATGGCCTACTTTTAATCCTACATCTTATATTCTAATTGCCACAGTGCAGGTCGAGGCCATTCGGCCCATTATGTCTGCACTTGCTGCTAATCCTCAACATGTTATGAGCCCTTTGCTTCATTTTTAGAAGGCCTGGAGAATCCAACCCAAAGTGTGCAGGCAACCTGACTGGGCATTAATCAGTAATTAACATGCCTCTCCTTGCCACGCCACCAACACAATTCAACCACTGCCAACTCCAGCTGATCTGCGACAGCGGAGACAATTGTAGAGTCCCAAGCCTAGTTCAGATAGGACTAATGGATAAAGGTGAATCTCCATTAGGCAGTAACTGCCTGCTAATTTGTTGAAATATATCACATGGGAGTATTTTGTCAGTGAGTAGTGCCTCCTGCCCCGGTTAGCAGGACGAAGGTGGGAGCTAATGGGATAGGGAGTCATTACCGAAAGGTGTAGTGCGTGAGGTTAGACCCCAGCAAAACAGTTGTTTCTTCAGCTGAGTCAGGGGACTTCAGAGAGAGCTGGATAGCGCTGACAATGGATTGCTTTGGGTTGTGTAAAGACCAGGTGACGGATATGCTGGAGGCAGTAGTATTCACTACAGAGAGGTTTCCAATGGGACCAGGTTCTAGAGGGAAGAAGAGAAATCATCATTCAGACTGGGATGATTAGCTCTTTAATAGAAAGCTGAAAACCCAGTAATAGTTTAACAGAATTTGATAATTTGATCACATCTACCAAAGGGCTACAAATAGATCATTCATGGGTTTTACGAACTTCCCTTTCCATTTGTTAATCTCTGAAATCAACATGGCCCCAACTTCTGAAGTGTAATCAACTGCAAACTTATTTGAATGGTAGTTTAGATCAATTTTAGAGCAGTTGGCCACAACACACCCCATCCCCAGTTCACTACAGTTAAACTTTAATTCTTATAACTAAAAAAGAATCCTAAAACATATACATTATGAGCCAAGCATGCCCAACTGGAGATCTAACTAATCTGCAAATGGCAGCATGAGGGAGCATGCGTGGTAGGAATAATCCTATTGAAAGCAGAAAAAGACGGAAATACACAGAATGCCAATCAGCATTTAACAGAGAAAGATAAGTTACTGCTTAATGTGGCAACCATGTATCCAAAATGACCTTAGAGGAAACATCCTAGACCACAAGGAAAGAGGCAGGAGGGGGCAGATAAATAAGAGATAAAGCTTCAAATTTCAGTTTGCCCTATTTCTTCAACACTGGCTCACCATTTAATTGTGGCAATAAGTAATTACATTATCTCTTTAATTGATAGAAAGTAGCCAGACCAATGCATACAAGTTTAAACTTTTAGCAGAATTTTCTGTTGTATATAAGAAATGAAAAGGCAGAGACTGCTAAGAGAGCACACAATAACTCTATAGTTCTTATCATTAGCATTTCAGTGAGTTATTTAAATTATTTGAAAGGTCAGATCTCACAAGGTCCCTAATTGTAATCTTCTGCTTAGAGGCTTGTCAAAGAATCCCAAGAAGATTCCATTTAATCTGAACATCCCTCTAAACCTGCTTTGTTTTCTACTTGTCTTCCCACCACCATCTCTAAGCTCAAATTATCCATGAGCCACCTCTTGTTCCATTGAACTTCGTCCTAATACACTGTTGATGACGCATCTTGCCCTCCTGGACTCAAGGCTGGCGACATTGTTAGTGTTATTGTTATCACTCCCCTTCCTCAGGTACTGTCCCCTTCTCCTTCAGATCTGCTGCCGTTACCCTCTCCTCAAGAAACTAACATTTGATCCCACCGGCCTTGTGAATGTTTCATCTCCAACCTCCCCTTCCTCTCCAAAGTCATTATATGTGTTGTGGCCTCCCAAATACGTTTCTCTCTTTTCCAGCACAGCAGTTGTGAATTCATCAAATTAGATTGAGGTGAGACTGTGACAAAAGTAAACAATCCTTCTGTGTCTTTCTCGATCTGTCTGTAGCCACATGACACCATCCTGCAATACTTCCCTAACATTATTCAGATGTGCAGAATGACACGCACCTGGAGCCTTTCATTTCTATTTACTTGCCATTCTAAAACTTCTTACTTTAACGTATTTTTAATTTGGACTGAAATGAGAAAAATACTGTTTTAAAAATCAAGGATTGTAGAAGGCATCGCTGCACTTTTTTTTATAGCAAGTTACCACAACTTTATATGGACACCATGGTCAGCATGGACCAATTTGGGCCAAAGGGACTGTTTCCATGTTGTGTTACTCTATGACTCTATAACTACTGTAAGTGGTGTTTGCATTGTTGCTTTCTTCAATCAGTGGAGGAGGCTGGTTGCAGCAGGTTGCATCAGGGCAAGTGTTCAAAATGAGTTTTGGCCAGCAACAAGTAGCTGATTGGTTTGCAGAGCGGTGACCAGTTGTCCATGATAGAAGCATCAGCCTGCCAACAACTGTGTGATTGGATCTTGGGTAGCTGAACAGCTTGTGGTTGTGAATGATACTGGCAGAAGCCTTTGGACCTCCAGCAGGGGACGTGGTATATTTTCTAATGCAGAGAGACACCTGAAGTAAGCCAGTTACTTTCTCTCACCAGTTGCTATAAGCTGTGCTTTCGTAGTCAGAAACTATGTCATTTGTGAGCCAATCGTATATACCTCCTGTGAGGAAGTGAAGTGAAATGAACTAGGAGAAGATAGACTGAAGGGCAGCTAGTCCTGATGAGCAAAAGGATTATCTCCACGAGCTATGTGGAGAAAGAGCATTGAACTGCTTCCGCAGTTTTCCCCCTCAACCCACAACACCAATGATCTTCTGCCTGTCTGTATCTGTCTGTAAGTTTGTATTGAGGTACTTATAAAGGGGTTAGAGTTTTAACTAGGAAAATTATATGTGAATAGCTCATAATTGTTTAACTGTAGCTAGAATCTGTTTGTAATCAGTGGTAATTTTGGTTAAATATGGAAACCTGGTCTTCTGTGCATTGTTTGCCAGGGTCTAAATAGACAGGTAAATCGAGGAAATTTTGTGGACTTTGATAAAATCTTTAACTTTGATGACAACTTTTTGGAAAAGTAGGGCTTAATTTCCAGTGAGTACCCCAGTGAGGAGTAACACAACGGCTTCTCTTCCTGCTCTCCCTCAATTTCCTCTCAATGAACCCCCAAGAATCAATCCTTGATCCCCTCATATGTCTCATCTACTGCTGTTCTTGGTGATGTAATCCAAAAATAGCATCAGTTTCCAGAGATACATTGATCCTTCAGAGCTGTATGTCATAAGAATACCTCTGTACTGTCTCTACAGTGTCAATGTTCAATGACATCTGATATCGCAAGAGTAGTAATTTTCTCCAACGAAATATCGGTAAGACAGAAGCCATGGTTAACAATCTCTGGCCAAAAATTCCATTCCCTAATCACCAACTCCCTAGAAACTGTCTGAAGTATACAGTTGTTAATGTTCAACTATGCCTCAGCACAGCTTTGACTGAAAACCCCACGCTTTTGTTACCATTAGATTGGACTATTTACACAGTGCTCCTGGCCAAAATCCAGTATGCTTTTCCCTGAAAACTTGAGGTCATCAAAAACATTGTTTTGCATGATTTGCACCATGTCCAGTGAGCCCTTCACCTCTGTGCTCACCAGTTAAGCAATGCCTCAATTTTAAAATTCCTATACTAGTTTGCTAATCTCTCTGTGGCCTAACCACCCCTTCATATGCTTAGTGAGGATATTTATAAGGGGTCATCAAATAAGGCTATATGGTTAAAACTTAGAAACAAGAAGGTGATAGTCATTCCATTAGGACTGTATTACAGACCCCCAAATAGCCAGTTGGTATTACAGTAGCAGACGTATTGAGAGATTGCAGATACCTGTAGGAATAATAGAGTAGTATTGGTTGGAGATTTTAATTTTCCTTGTGTTGACTGGGCCACCCAGAGTGTAAAACACCCGGGTGGGGTGGAATTTGTCAAATATGTCCAAGAAAGTTTCCTAAATCAATGTGTAGATGGTCCTGCTTGGGAGGGTCCAACTCTGGACCTCTTCATAGGAAATGAGGTAGGGCAAGCGACTGGTGTCAGTCGGAGAGCACTTTGGATCCAGTGACCATAACTCTCTTAGTTTTAACATAGTTATGGAATAAGATAGGACAGGTCCACAGGTTAATGTGCTAAGCTGAAGCAGGGCCAATTTTGGGGCCATTAGGCAGGATCTAGCAGAGGTCGATTGGGTGAGTCTGTTTGAAGGAAAAGGAACGACTGGCATATGGGAGACTTTTAAAAGCGTGATATCAAGAGTCCAGGGACAGTATGTCCCCGTTAGGGTGAAGGGAAAAGCTGGCAGGTTTAGGAATCCCTGGTTGGTGAGGAATATTGAGGCTTTGGTCAGGAAAAAGAAGAAGGCATACATTGGTTTTAGCTTTTAGGTTCAAGTGAATCCCTAGATGACTATAAAAAGTCTAGCAGCACATTTAAGAGGGAAAGCGGAAGAGTAAAAAGAGGGTATGAGATGGATCTGGCAGAAAAGGTTAAAGATAATCCCAAGAGGTTCTATAGCTATATTAAGAGTAAAAGGATGGTTAGGGAGAGAATAGGGCCCCTTAATGATCAGCATGGCCGTCTATGTGTGGAGCCACAGGAGATGGGGGAGATTCTTAATGAATGTTTCTCCTCAGTGTTTACTGGGGAGCGAATCATGGATGCTAAGGAAATAAGGATAACAAGGGGAGATGTTTTGGACCACATACATATTACCAGAGAAGAGGTGTTTGCAGCCTTAAAGTGCAATAGGTGGATGAATCCCGTGGACCTGATCAAGTCTATCCTCGGGTGCCTTTGGAGGCTAGGGAAGAAATTACAGAGACCCTTGCAGAGATTTTTGCTTCCTCTTTAGCCACTGGTGAAGTTCCGGAAGACTGGAGGGTGGCTAATGTTATTCCATTGTTTAAGAAACTTAGCAAAGACAAGCCAGGGACCTACAGGCCAGTGAGCCTGACATCACTGGTAGGCAAGTAATTGGATAGGATACTGAGGGACAGGATCAACCAACATTTGGATAGTCAAGGACTGATTAGGGATAGACAGCATGGATTTGTGTGCAGCAAGTCATGTCTGACAAATGTTTTAAATTTTTTTGAAGAGGTAACCAAGAGGATAGATGAGGATAGGACAGTAGATGTTGTCTATGTGGACCTTAGAAAGGCCTTTGACAAAGTACTGCACAGCAGACTATTCGTGAAGGTTAGGTTAAATGGGATCCAGGGACAGGTAGCTAGTTGGATTCAAAATTGGCTTGATGGTAAGAAGCAAAGAGTGATGGTTGAAAGTTGGTTCTTGATTGGGAGGCCTGGGACTATTGGTGTGCCACAGGGGTCGGTGCTGGAACCTTTATTGTTTGTTATTTACATAAATGATATGGATGTGAATGTACAAGGCAATGATTAGTAAGCTTGCGGATGATACAAAATTAGGAGGTATCGTTCATAGCGAGGAAGGTTATGAAAAATTGCAGAGGGATCTTGATCAGATGGGGAAGTGGGCTGAGACTTGGCAAATGCAATTCAATATAGACAAGTGTGAGGTGTTGCACTTTGGAAAGTCAAACCAAGGTAGGACTTATACAGTAAAT